TTTAACAGCGTCCATAGGTCTGATCTGCTCCCAAGTTGCTTTGGTAGAGAAGTGTGTTGAGGTAGAGTCTTCAATGTGCCAGTAGAAAGTGTCATGGCCAAAAACAGGGCTTGGAGGAGGAGTCACTAACAGAACACTGCGTAGATCAACAAGATAATTGAACTTGTACTATGCTAGTGCTAGACTGCTAGAGTTTTTGTTTGTTACTCTTAACTTACTCAAGAGCGACAAACCAAATCAATTTCTAGTAAGTTTTCACTGATTCCCACAATGTTTTTTTTCCAAAAAAGTGTAGATTTCTGTAACATTCGTATTATTTTACCGGCCTGAAAATATGAATTAAAAATGTGTATATATGCTGGTGGGTAGAACAAAAAACGAACTGTATAGAATATTTTTGAGAAAGACGTATAGAATTTAACATATATAAATTCTTGTGAATAAAAAAAAAAAACAGGATGACAAGGGTGTGTACTTCCGGGTTAAGAGGGACGTCGGGCTACATACGATGATGGAAGCATTTTCCCACAAAGTTGGAGAACAAATGTCGAGTTTCGTCTTCTGCTTCGATGGAATTAGGATCAAACTCCCAATGAGGTATTTATCATTACTTTTGTAAAGAATTAATTACTCCAATATATAATATGTATGAATCAAATTGAAAACGATTGCAGCTTGAGCTTGAAGACGGAGATGAACTCGACGCGTTTGGTCACCAACTAGGAGGGTTCAGCTTCTATCGTCACTATTAATAGTATCTTGACGACTTTAGAAGCTTTTAGTACGGGTCACAAAAGATTAATATAGTAATCTTGTTTAATTATTTTCACATAATGTTTAATAAGTTGGTTGTTGACAACGTTAGTTAAGGTGATTTATGGATGAACATGCTTCTAATATTGGTTCTTTTATATTTTAAACTTGGTTAATGAGTTAATATTCCAAACCACACATTTACACACTCTTCGCAACTGAAAGTATCATATACGATTAACTCACGAAAAAAGTACAAGAGAATGAAAACGTAATGTTCGTTTGCATGAAAAATTGCAACAAAGATAACATTATATATGTTTTTGTGACAAAAAAAAAGAAGATAACATTATGTTCTCGGTAATTCAATGGTGTGCGCTTCTTTTTTTTTTGACAACGTGTAACATTTTGCTATCTAAACCTGAATAATATTAAAATTCATTAATTCGAATATGTAAAATAAATAAATTAAGATTATAGATCAAAACTTATTTGTTGTAAAAGAAAATAATATGGATATTTGAAAGTTTTGTATTTAAAAGTGATGATACACAACTACAAGAACAAATCATTGTAACTATGATCACTTGAGGCCTTGGACCTTCAATATAGTGTGATTCAATTCATATATCCAAATTTTATTCTAATTTGAAGTGAATTCGAAATTTTCCCGTCGGTCAAAGTGATGGTCAAAACTTTCCCGTCGATCAAAATCAGAAAATTTAGAAATAGTGCATAAAACTTTCCCGTCGGTCAAAGTGGTGGTCAAAACTATACATTTTTTTTTTTTGCTAAAAACTATACATTAAAGAGGAGAAAAAAAAATCAAACGGGAACAAAATTTAGTGTGATTCATTTAATACACAAATTTAATGTGATTTTTATTTTCTTTTCCCGTTTGATTTTTTCAGGTCACGTATATATACTACTCAGTTAAGAACATTCAACTGGAGAAAGTGAAGATGTTGCCGTCGGGCGAGAAGATCACGTCGGTTTCGTCTTCTGATCATGTTACCGCCAAAGTCAAAATATATCAGGTTCTTGAATATACCAAAGAAAAAAGGATAATCTTTTTCTTTTCTTTTTGGAGAAAAAAAAGGATAATC